CATTTTCTCATGACAAAGTCAATTAGATATCAGATCCTATACTTTTAGCTGAAATCATATTACTTAGAATCAAAGATTAAGTTATGATGTCTTTTATTCAGAAAAATGTGGAAAGAAATTCTTACTTAAGAAATATACTTTGGGATTGAGGATGTAGCTCAGTAGTAATAGTAGTACTAGCCTAACATAAACAAACAAGATCCTGGGTTATATGCAGGGCCTTGTGTTAATCCCAAGTACCAGAAAATAAAAAGAAATAAATATACTTTGTTTGGCAGATAGCATAATTTAAAATCGAGTATTCAGGAAGGGTAGGAAAAACAGTAACAACTCACTTTGTTTAGAAAAAATAAAAGCCATGCTTTAAAGGAGGATCCCCTTAAATCAGTGCTTCTGTAAAATACTATTTCCAGCAGCTCAAATATTCCAACAACAATTCTATTTCTCAAATATTTTACAGAATCTACTCAGCATTCCTTTCTTTAAAGAACTGCCACTCTGCCACTTCCCCTACCTCACATGGTCCTGTAAGGGACTGGAAATTGTAGCATACACTTTCAACTACTCTATATAAATCTGTAATCCAATCTGTGCCAATATAATTCTCCATCTCCAACCCCACCCATCTCCACCCATACCCCGGTCATATTAGACTCTTGAACAAAAATATTGAGGAATGAAAAATGAAAAGAATCATCTGAGAGAGCCAATAAGAAAAAGCCAATGCCCTAATCTCTGCTACTGGTATCCCTAAAGTTCTATTTGTTCTAGGTCCTTCCTCAGTCCAGCCTGTTCAGTTCTACCTTACTTAATTACTTAAGGTTGTATAATAAGGAAATTGACTAGTCTTCACCCTCCATTCCTGAGAGGTAACTACTAAACTCTTAGAATTTCCCCAGTGACAGGGGTATCTTTCTTATTCATGGTGGGCCCCTTGGATCACGCTTGAATTTATGCTAATGAAATGCCTTGGAATGGGAGATTTGTCACTAGAAAGACTAACCAGGTTATTAGAGGGTTGGGGCTTTGGCTAATACCAGTTCACCCTTTAAGAGAAAAAGGAGGCTAAAGACTGGGTTCAATCACAAAGCCAACAATTAAATTATAACTATGTTTAAAAAAAAAAAAAAAAACCTTTAGGGGCCAGGGTTGTGGCTCAACAGTAGAGTGCTTTCCTAGCATGCATGAGGCACTGGGTTCAATCCTCTGTCTAAAAAAAAAAAAAAAAAAAAAAAAAAAAAAAAAAAAAAACTTAAAAAAAAATATGGTGGACACCAAAGTCAACTGAGCTTTCTGATTGGCAAACACATAGATGTGCTGGGCGGGCAATGTGTCCTGTCCCATCTACCAGGAGAAGACATAGAAGTGCCAGATCTCAACCTATGAGTCTTTTTTTTTTTTTTTGGTTAGTCCTATTTTGTAGCCTTTATAATACTATAATGCTGAAAACAGGGCTTTTTTTGAGTTTTGAATAGCTCTAGCAAATTATAGAACCTAGGAGGTCTCTGGGAACTCCCAACTTTGTGGCCAGTTGGTAAAAACTGCAGGAGACCTGTGAATTTCCAAAGCTTATGGCTGATGTCTAAAGTGAGGGTAGTTTTGGGTCTATACCCTTAACTTGCGAATTAAAAGTGTTTCACTAATCTTTCTTTGCTTTATTTTTGTAGTTAGTAAATGAAGATAACCACAGTATCTACACTTCATAAAGTTTTTATAAGAAATAAATGAGTTAATACATATAAAAAACTTAGAATAGTGCCTAGGACATATTAAATATTATACAAATTTTAGTTGCTGTTTTATTTTGAAACAGGGTCTTGCTAAATTGCTTAAACTTGCCTTGAATTTATGATACTTCTGCCTCAGCCTCCCAAATCACTGGGATTACAGGCATGCTTTATTTGTGTTTGCAGTCTGGGGATTGAACCTAGGGACTCACACATGCTAGGTAAGCACTCTACCACTGAGCTACTTCCCCAACACTCCCAATTTTTTTTTTTTAATTTTTATTTTGAGACAAGGTATAATTAAATTGCTGAGACTGGCCTTGAATTTGTAATCCTCCCACCTTGGCCTCCCAAGTAGCTTAGATTACAGATATGCTTGCTCCACTGTACCTTTCCTTGAATTGTTTTTATTATAAAAATCCAGAGGTGGTTAATATAGAGATTAGCAAGCTTTTCTGTTTAAATCTAAATAATAGAGAAAAGGTTGGCTTCCAACATTAGTCAGAAAATGTTGACAACATTAATCACATAGAGGAGACTGACATTAGCCAGATAATGTTCTGAAAACAAATGATTGCTGCTGATATCTACATCATCTAGCTAAACTCAGACCAGTCAGTTTCAGCCAGTGCCAGAATATTACATGTTTTTTGTAGCCTGAAATTGTCACTAGAGAAATTAGGGGACTTGTTCTGAATAAGGAGGCAAGTTATTGGTAAGAACAGAATACAAAAACAATCTTACTTCTAGTTTATCGAATCACTAGGAATAACACATGGTAAGCCAATGCTAAAATCACTTTTCCTATCTCAGCTGTTAACTACATTACTATGCATTCAAATGTTTTTCTCTGCTCCCCTCCTCCAAAACCTCACTCCATTGTCTTACATTTTCCTGTAATTTAGAATATACTAAAAGTGTTCCAAATAGTTGCTGAGTCCAAAAATAATGTTCTTACCAGAAAATTGCTTGGAGCTGTTTTCTAGTATTATGATTCAATCTCTTTATTTTTGCTTCCTCTTGGTCACCTTCTCTTCCCAGCTACTTCTCTATGAGTTTTTAGAAAAAGCTACGAATGTTCTCTCTGCCATCTTTCATTCTAAGTTCCTACTTTAAAAGTCCACTTTTTTTTTTTTGAGTTGTAGTTGGACACAATACCTTTATTTTATTTTTATATGGTGCTGAGGATCGAACCCAGGGCCTCACACATGCTAGGCAAGCGCTCTGCCACTGAGCCACAACCCCAGCCCCAAAGGTCCACTCTTAAAAATTATCTTTATATCACTGGAGAAAAAAATCAAAATTAAATGGTACCGATGGAAGATCTTTCCTGGCAATATTGGTCTAATTCCAAAGTTCATGTCACTACTTCATCTTTTATTAGTAGACAGTTTGAGTTGCTCAGGAACGATTAAAGAAACCCCCACACACATACACACAAGGAATTCAGCTTCTGAAGATTTCCAGGAAGCTCTTTCCTTATGCTCCTTCTAAATTGACAAAACAGAATTAAGAAGCTTGTCCATCCCAGAACCAGGACTCCAGGTCTTCCTGCTTCAAATCTAACACTCTCTACCTACATTATAGATGAGCCCTTCCAGATCTAAAATTCCATAATCCTAGGTAAGAAWTTAAATAAAAATAGAAACTGCCTCATTCCTACCAAAAGTAGTCTTTTCTATCACCAGATCAGTGCTTTCAACCAAGATTTTAAGGAAAAGCATTGGCGTGGAGATCAGAAGGCCAAAATTGAAGTCCTGGCTCTACTAAATGCATAATAATGAACTAGCGAATTTATAGGCCAAGGCCTAAGGTTCCTCATCTGAAAACCCTTCTTAGGTTTATCATTATATCTTAGGAATGTCTCCCAAAGTCTCATGTGTTTAGAGGGCTTTGGGGAAGTGATTGGATCATGAAAACTCTGACCTCATCAGTGGATTAATCCATTGGCTGAATGGATTACTAGGAGTGGGACTCAATTAAAGGAAGCAAGTCACTTTTGGCTACGCGCAGAGGGTTTAATCTTCTCCCTGCCCTCCACACTCCACCCCTGCTTCCCAGCTAATATGAGTTGAGCAGCTTTCTTCCACCAGGCCCTTCCTCCATGTTTCTGCCTCAGAGCTAGCCAACCATCAAATGAAACCTCCAAAAACATGAGCCAGAATAAATCTTTCCTCCCTAAATTGTTTTTGCCGGGTGTTTTGGTCACAGAGACAAAAGGCTGACTAACACAAGAACCCATGCTAAGGACCCTGAAAAGAGACTGTTTCCAATTTTTTTTTTATATCAAAGAAAGCTCTAGTCACAGATATAAATGGAGAGAAAGCTTAAGCCTTCTTTTTACTTTTCCTATCAAATCTCACACAAGTAGACATATTCCTTTACACAATACTCTGAAAATACTACAGAAAAAAAAGTGGTAGTCATGATTAAGCAGTTTCATCATATATGAAAAAGATCTAAAGTTTTCATTAATAAATTCAATTCAAATCAGTAGAGTAATGTGACTTCTGAAGGGACCAGTACCTAATTAGACTATGTTAACAGATGAACAGGGTTCAGAACTGAGGTGACAATCCAGATCAATTCTGTAAGAATTTGGGAGTCTGTGTCCAACTCCAGGATCTAAGAAACACGTTCACAAAATTTTTTACGGGCAGAAAACCAAGGTATCTGAGGAGAAGGACGAGGCTGAAAACCAAGATATCTAAGGAGGGGCTGGGGATATAGCTCAGATGGTAGAGTGCTTGCCTTGTATGTACAAGGCCCTAGGTTCAATCCCCAGCACCAAAAAAAAAAAAAAAAAAAAAAAAAAAAAAAGATATCTGAGGAGGAGGACGAGGCTGAGAAAATGTTTTCTCAAAGAAGTAGGGCTACTCAACCTGGAAAAGAGAAGACTCAAAGGAGAATCCAACTTTTACTTTGGTTCTAAGTGGGAGCGACAGAAGAAACAGCTTGCCTCAAGAGACCAGCAAGCTCTTTATCTCTAGAGATGATGCATCAGAAGCTAAGAGATTCCCATGGGGTGGGAATAAGGAGAGAAGTAGAGAATAAGTTAGAGTTCAAAAAACATTCTGACTCTGGAGAATCTTTCCTAGTTCCCAGCATAGTGGCTACTTAGTCTTATTCAATAATTTGCTTTTTAACTAAGTATTTTATGTTCTTATCATACTAGTATTTTATGTTCCTATTTCTTTAACTTCAATTTGCTATCTTCGTCTCTCTTCTCTGAGCCTTCTAACAACTAGGAATGACAACAAGGCTGCCTATTACCTTCTGAGGACTTCCATGCTTTCCACAGGTCCTCCACGCTGATGAGCTTGTCCTCACCATGGAAGGTGCTGTGCTTCACTGTTGGGTCATGGTAATTGAGGTCTTCCCTCAGGAACTGCAAGGGGAAAGCACACAAGTCACAAGAGATCCCTGGGAGCCAGCACACCAAGATCTCCACTCAAGTCATTTGCCTCGAGCTATCCACAGCACATTCCATTTACCCAATGCATGTGTATTATATCACTCATGTATCTTTCCTTGTGCATATGTCTTAGTTGCCGTTGAGACTACATTTTCTTGTAATATGTTTCACTTGAAAAAAATAAATATGAATTAGAAATTCTTTCCTCATACTGTTTTTTGAATTATGGGAAGATAAATGACAGTTAACTGGAATTTAATAAACTGGAAGAGGGAAGAAAGAATAGAAAGAATAATTAACAATTTTTGAGTACTTCTTTATATACTAAGAAATATTCTAAGAACTTTCACAATATTTTCTTATCTAATCTTCACAGCCAATGAATTATCACACCTATTCTAGAAATAAGAATAGTAACATTCTCAAAGATAATGCAATTTGTACCCAAATCATATTAGTTTCAGAAAGTTAAATTACTTGCTGTGATGATTTTAAAACATCCACAAATTCTCAAATTGTCCCCAAATTCCTTGACAATCCTCCTATCAAAGSTGGATTCCACTCCCATTGAATATAAGCTAACATTAGTGATTCATTATTATGGTTTAGATAAGTACCACTCAAAGGTCCATGTGTTAAAGGCTTAGTTTATACAGTGTCACTACTGAGATGTGATGCAATATTTGAAAGATCCTTAGGTAACTGAGGGCATGCCATCAAAGGGAATTGTAGGCCTCCAGCCTCCTCCTCTTTCTCTTTACTTCCTGATTTGGTGATAAGTCATTTTTGCTCCACTACTCAGAGACCCAAAGAAATTAGGACACTCAACTTTGGATTGGAATCTACAGAACTGTCAGCCAAAATACATCTTTACTCTTTATAAGTTAGTGTATACACACACACACACACACACACACACACACACACACACACACAAATTTTAGTCAGCTTTTTCACTGTTGTAGCCAAAATATTTGAAAAAAAAAATTACAGGAGGAAAAGTTTACTTTGGTCCTCACAGTTTCATAGTTCTCAGTTCATAGATGACCAACTCCACCACTCTGGGTTCAAGGTGAAGCAGAACATCAAGGCAGAAGGGTGTGGCAGAGGAAAGCAGCTTAGGACATAGCAGAGAGAAACTGTTCCATTCAGTAGGGACAAAATATATACCTCAAAGGCACACCCCCCAGTGATGCAACTCCTCCAGCTATACCCTACCTGCCTACAGTTACTACCCAGTTAATTCCTATCAGAGGATTAATGCACTGATTAGGTTAAGACTCTCATAACCCAATCATTTTACATCTAAACTTTCTTGCACTGTCTTGCATGCACGAGTGTGTGTGTGTGTGTGTGTGTGTGTGTGTGTATTTTTTTAAAGATGCAGTCTTGTTATGTTGCCCAGGCTGCCTTGAATTCCTGGGCTCAAGCAATCCTCCTGCCTCTGTCTCTCAAGTAACTAAGATTTCAACATATATTTAATGAAAATTTCCATGTACCAGGTATAGTTCCAGGTACTAGAGCAAGAAGTAGTAACCAAAACAGATAAAAATGTTATATGTTTATCCTCACTGAGCTACCAACAGGCCTTAGAAGAGGAAACACTAAAAGAAGGGGATTTTTCTACAATTACCAGGTAACTCTAGGAAATACTCTGATAGGAGATACCAGCTGTTTATAGGGAACTCACAAGAAGTAAGAAAGCCTGATCATGAAATATGTATATAGCAGAGAAGCTCACAGAAAGTATAAAAAGTAGATCTACACAAGCTGGGTGTCGTGGTACACACCTGTAATTCCAGTGATTTGGGAGGCTGAAGTGGGAGGATCAGAAATTCAAGGCCAATCTTGGCAACTTAGTGAGACCCTGTCCCCAAATAAAAAGGGCTGGGAATGTAGCTCATTGGTAAAGTGTCCCTATGTTCAATCCCCAGTTCTGGAAAAAAATAAAAGTACCTACACAGGAACTCACATACAAGCATACAAGCCTTAGTGGTGTCATAATACATGCCAAGAGGAAACAGGGTCAGAAAACAAGACCAGCAAGAAGATGGTGCCAAATGATGGACAAGGCAGATAGACAATTTATGTGAAGGAAGGGTCTGATTCTTTTTGGAACCATTTTAGAGAACAAAGAAGAGAGGTTGCAACAATCAAGCCTTAAGAGTCAGAAAGACAATATACTATAAAGAGATCATAACCTATAAAACAGGTCACTTATTTCTTATGTGGCTTTTGGGCAAGCTTCTCAGCCTCTTGGTTTATTAGTCTCTCAAACAAAGAGCTAATTATCCTTTCATTTGAGTAGGATGAGACATGCTTGCAGAAGTCATAAATTACCTTTATAGGGATCTTTTTTATTGGCTCCAAAGTATATTGTAAAGTTGAACCTAAGCCTTGCTTTTCGGACTGTCTTCTAAAACAACAACAAAACAAAGAGGTTCTAGTGGCTTGGCTTTTGGCTTAGTGGTAGAGCACTCACCTAGTACATGTGGGGCTCTGTGCTGATCCTCAGCATCAAATATAAATAAATAAAATAAAGGTATTGTGTCCACCTACAACTAAAAACATATTTAAAAAGAAGAGGATCTAACAATACCAAACTCCAGTGACTTTTACAATTTTATATAGGAGAGGCTTAAGGGATATAATTTGATTAGAAGGGGAGGGCAGTGGCTAAGGGACTGACTCATTATGAGGTTGTGTTTTCAAAGCAAACACGCTATTATTTGTTTGTTTGTTTGTTGAAACTAGGGGCATCCTCACCCTTTTTATTTTTTATTTTGAGATAGGAACTCACTAAATTGCTTAGGACCTAAGTTGCTTAGGCTGGCCTAGCACTCATTTCTCTTGCCTTAGCCTTTCAGGTCCTTAGGATTACAGGCATGTGCCATCACACCTGGCAAGAGAAAAAGACTCTTGATCAAAGATGATCTTTTCTATGTTCACACAACTACTATGCATACCTTTATCAGTCTTTTTGTGTCTATCTTCCCTGCCAACCATATCCCACTGATAGAAGCTCCCAGACACCCAGTTATAAGCATAACACACTACAATATTAAATTGAACTACTACTCTGATGTCCAATATATTTGAGGTACTCATTATTACATCTTACTTTAATACTGTCCTATATCCAGTTAATAGCTGAAGTCTGATTTAAAAAAAAGTTCAAAAGCAACAAAAAGCCAAAACAAAACAGGCCACTTTTGGCTTTCACAAAACAGGATTTACTGTTTCAGACTCTGAACTAACAGCTCCTCCCTAAAGAGGATCCAAAGAGACTCTCTAAAAGATGTGTCTTAATTTGCCTCACCAGAAGGAATGGAGCACTGGCTAGAACTACAGCTCAATATCTCAATATCTCGCCTAAGTGCCAAGGTACCAGCTGTCACTAGGTATATTTAGCTCATGAGCTCAGAAAAGTGATCTCCCAGTAGCTGGCAGTAGTGAAGTAGTGTGGATGGGAACAGAGAAGAAAGGATATCTCTCTAGAATTCCCATAATACAGGCTCAGAGTATTCTAACATAGGCCAGAAGAAGAGCAACACATCTTTGGATATAGGGATCTGAGCAGCTCTCCTGGGGAGAGCTGGTTTTAATTTAATTGGTTTTCTTCTTAAAACCAATTAATCCTCTTTCCCTATCCAATCTTGTTCCTCACTACCTACCTTCCATATCTTCTAAATCAAACCACATGGCCTCCTCCACTCCCACTTCCCCTGAAAGCCCACTGTCTAGTATTAAGAATCCATAAACAACATGTTCTATATTAGACAACTCCTGTTTATCTCCTAAACATCCAGCAAGGACCCAAATTTTAGCTATGTAGCTCTGAATGTCTTTAACACACAGTGCTAGAACAACGATGATTCAGGGATGAAATACATGTCCACAATGACATCAGAAGCCCTTGGCTAGAAGTTAGGGAGAGGAGAGTCATTTCTCCCTCATTTTTGCACATCTAAGTCTCAATTCTACCATATTAAACACTAGAATAATCTATATAAAGTACAAACCTAACTAGACCAATTTACCTACTTAAAATCTTACAACTCCCCATTATTTCCAGACTTCTTAATCTGTCATTTAAGGTCTTTTACAATGTGGCCCATAGATTGATTTCCCAGTCTTGGCCATTCTCCTTTCCTACAAGACCTTACACTACAGACCAGAGGTCAGAAAATTGTGGCCATGGAACAAATCCAGTTTGCCACTTGCTTTTGTAAATAAWATTTTATTGGAACATAGCCAGATTCACTCACTGATATATTATCTATGGTTGTTTCATGCTACAAAGACAGAATTGAGTAATTGTTACAGTGACTCAAAGCCAGCAAAGCCTAAAATATTTACTGTTTGGCTCTTTATAGAAAAAACTACTAACCCCTGCTATAGACACATTTAATCCACTTCATGCTCCTCAAACCTCTGCATAAGGTGCTCCATATAAAATGCTTTCTCCTACTTTTTGTTTGTTAAGGATAAAGTCTCTCTCTGTAAAGTTTTCCAGACTTCTCCGAGATAAGTTAATTGCTCCTTGGTTCTCAGGGTTATATATCTATCACAATGCTTATCTCATTGTTCTATAACTACTCCCTAAGCAACTCAAAAGTGAATACTGTATTTCATTTATCATTTATCTCTTCAACCAGTACTTGTAAATTTTCTGGAACAACTAAATGAATAATTAATTTAGCTCCATAGGCCCATCCCCAAGCATAAGGCCTGGCATAGAACAGAGTATATCATTATTAAAAATTGAATGAGTGTCTTTTACCTGAGTTTTTCCTATAACATGTAGCAGAATGCTTAGTTTAAAATAGCTAGTCAAAATAGCTATGTCTATGAATAATTCTCTAAAATATACCATGTATTATGCCACAAAGCAACTCTTAACATATACAAAAAAGTAGAGATATTACCCTTCATTCTATCAGATCATAATAGAATAAAATTAGAAATCAATG